GCGACAGAAGGTCGCGAACCAGAAGCTTCAAGAAGCACTTGAAGTTGAGAACGATGCCAATGATGCACCTTCGGCCCGAGCTGGCAAAAAGCAAAAGGCAGTGAGGGCAAGCAGCAAGCACATGCTCATGCTGCCAGAAGTTCTCGATATCGAATGCCGGGGGCACCGTTTCAAAGTCTTGATGGAGGGGATCAACACCCAGAGCATTTGGATGCACTTGACCGAAGAGAACATCAATTGGCTCAAGAACGAGGCGGCTGGTGAGGAAGCTAAGCCTCGGGTGCAACGGCGATCCGGCAGCAAGCGAGCACGGGGCGACAGCAGCCGGGATGACGATGACCAGGAGCCGGATAATGAGGAGAACCCAGAGCTTTGATCGGCAGCATGTTTCCGATAGACGATTTTGAGCGACCAGCTTGCATTCTTGCAAAGGAAAGAAATAGCTATGATTTTTGCATTGTTGCCATGGAATGAATGCTTTCTCCTTGCCTGTTATGTGCACAGAACACCCATGCAGAAATTCTTTCTTTCGCACGACAAAGACATATACATTCAATGCTTGCACAACCAATACGAAGAATGACACAGGGAAAGGGTTCCAAACAACAGGGGGGAAAAAGAGACACGAGCGAGAGACGGAGAGGAGAGAGTGCTTGCTTTTGTTGCATTTGTTGGCGAAGATGACTTGTCAGTGCTTCTTGCATGATGCATGCCACCTTGAACCCGCAATCGGGAAGGCTCTTCATGGATGTGCAACAGCCACCATGCTGCATGGACACATCCAGATGCATACACTCAGGCACGAAGCAGCATCGAGAAGGTCGCATGTGCATGCCATGACACACATCCTGCTATAGTCTAGCAGCTAGGTGGACCGTTCCTTGCAAGAGCCATGACAGTTTTTCGTCTTGTGGTCCTGGGCAATCCTGAGGCATGCACCGCTTACTTCGTATAGTTCATGTCACACTTTCAAACTTATGTGTGTTGTGTGCAGATGCCCGAGCGGAAGATGCTGACTGCCCTGGCCATCGAAGAGGATTTCGTCAGGTGCAAGCCCAAGGGTTCCCAGAGCAAGTGGCGATGGGAAACCTCGGGCGGGCGGTTGAGGTGGACCAAGGAAGGCGGGGTGTCGACATGTCATGCGAACATCAGATAAGCCGGGGGTGTTGTTATGGTGCAGGCTGGCACGTGGACGTCTTCAGCGACAAGGGGCACTCGGAGCACCAGATGTCGGTATGGTTTTCTCCTGCTGCCCAGAGTTTTAAGCCTCCTGCAAAAGGCCTGCACCTTATAACCCTCAGGTTAAAACACCTCAACAAAAACACCGATCAGGCTGGAAGTTCTGGTGGAAGCAGAGCTACCGCAAGAGCTGCATTTCCTTCGAGGACAATGTGCTATGAGTGGAATGTTATATAGGTTATATATGTATATACAAAGAGCAGTGTTGCATGTTTCACATCATACAGGAGGTGCTGGAGACCATGGAAGAGGTGCCGGTGGATCCCGTGCTTGAGGAGGCACTGGATCCTTACAATGGTTGTTGTTCCTTGACTCGATCTGGTCTGCACTGGCTGAACACAGCAAGGCACCACCAGAGCCTGAGAATCCTCCTTCATGGGCAAGGGCCCCGTCATGCACTGCTGGTTCCATTGATGCAGATTATCATAATGATAAGTCTTGTAGAGGTTGCCGCCCAGGATGAGGAGTTCCAGGCTTGGTGGGCACCCAACAGCTGGAATTTGCTTTGTGTGCATGTTGTCCGAGACA